CAGAGGCAGGGTAAAATCTACAGTTGTGGCTTAGTCATTGGACCTTGCTGCAGTGAGCTTGTCGGGATCCTCGGTCGACATCCGCTAGCTCTTTCAAGGCCAGAGCACTAGTTACTAGTTACCTGCCAGAAAGACCTGCCAAAAGCAAAGCGCAGTGGTCTTCTTGCGCTCGGTGCAGGCTGAGATTCGGACGCTGGGCGTGCGATCGCCGCGCCGCTGTGGAGTGCCTGGCCAGAGCGGAGGAGGACGAAGAGTGGTTCACATGTCAGGTCATGTCAGTATGGCTCTGCATTCACTCAGAACATGAGTCACACAGTCGGACACAGCTCTGCACTTTCTCGACAACCTGTAGGGAAATCATTCCGAGAGGTGCACTCTACACTAGTGAGTAACCCCTGGGACCAGAGCATTCAAAATCCTCTTAAACTGCCTGGAAGAATATGCAAGTCTCGGAGGGAACCTCGGCCGTTGGACGGACTGCAGATGCCTTGGTCGATGTCAGATCTCTTGCGCGAAGCGGCAGCGGTACCACAAGCAAAAGCAGTCTTGCTTCATTCCTGTCCGACTAAGCTGAGGGCTTCCAAGTCCAGACGGCTTTCTTGGCGGAAAGCGGCGATCTGCCTGCCCAGCTCTTGCCGATTGCAACAAAGAAGCAACCCCGAAGCTTTGCACAGCTCTGCACCTTGCCGTCCTGGTTTCGTGGGCCAGGACCTCCAAGTTCTCTGCTTCGCCCACATGACATGTCTCATCTTTGGTGCACCGAGCGCTGGGCTTTGGCCACGGGACGGAGGCTCCGAGCAGGGTAAGAGCGCTGCCTCGCCCGCTCTCAGCCCGCGGAAGTCTGAGGTTCACGATTCTACTGCTATCCTATGGTATCCTATGGGAGTTTCCGATTGTTAGGGTACCTTATTTTGGGGTCCTNNTTTAGGGCACTATATTAGGGTCCCCTTTTTTCGGAAATCCCCATATTACGCAATGGCATCACCTGATGTTGAGTCGGCTCCGCCCGAATTTGGGTAGCCTGCAGCACAGCCAGTGCGCCGCCGGTAGCAGCACCTCCATCACCTCAAAGGAGAAGTGATGCTGACAGGTCGGCACCTAGTACTGACAGATGCGGAGTTGCCATTTAGGTCAGGCCGTTGCTGGCTGGACGAGTGATCGGAGGAGGCCGCAAGCTTGCCATCAACTCCTGAAGCACAGCACAACGACGATACAATTGCCATTCCCCTGGGTACACAAGTCGCGACAATGGGACTGACACGCATGGAATGCACAGCAGGCCTCAAGGCTGTCGTCGAGGTCGCCTGCCCTACCTTGTCAACACATCTCTGAGCATGACATGGGCGAGCAGCTAGTTTTCCCGACCAAAGCACCATCATCGCATCAATTTGCAGTCAAGTGGCCCTTTGGAAGCGCGGCGTCTCTTCCGTCACAGGTAATCGGTGGCGGATCCGATGAGAGCCTCGCAGCGCGGTTCTCGCCGGACGGGTAACCAAATGCAGGTAGACGGACGTCCCAACTTGCTAGTAGCTTAAGCATCTAGATGCGCCCCCCGGGCGGCGCCAAAGTCTCATTCCAACGTACTGCGTCTTCCTGGACAGGTTGCGACCACAGGGCCAACCGGGTCCCCTCATACAGGCACGCAATTCTCGGGAATAGTCCAACCCTGGCACCGCGGAAAATCCTGTCAAGTTCGTGTCTTTAGACGAGCCTGAAGCCAAACACCAACCGGGAGACTGGGAATTGGCAATCTTCAGCAGCCGTTTCAGGCAGATGTTTTTTAATGTTTTTTAATCATCTCATTGAGTCCGACCTGCTGACCCGCTGAGATGTCCTACTGCTAAGCACACCAACGACCTCAGAAGCACAAAGCTACATGAGCCTGTGGTGCCCATTGCAGCAAAATGCTGTGCAGAGAGCGCCTCTGTACACGCCAGGCGCGGGATTGAAAACTTCGGTTGTGGTGGCAAGGTCACCCCTCTCTAAAACTATTGGGGCCCTCCGGCCCTCAAGCAGTAACTGCGACGGGTTGCATCCAGTCACCTGCGTTTGATCCTAAGAGTGAACACTTCTGCTTCATCTCGCCAAAGGGGCACTTGCACTGGCGGTGACAATCGAAATCGGAGCCACACTCATGGTGGCAAGTCATCGACGCCACCACCTTCCCTTTGAGCCATGGCATGGAAGGAGTGGGACATGAGCTGTGGCAGGCGGAATCGTGGTGGCATGTGTGATGACACTCCATGATCGGTTCCACCTCGGTACAGCTCCTCTTCAACTCCCACCAACTCTCTGTGCACTTCTCCAAACATCCCATGTCGCTCTGGCACTTCTGGGTGCAGGTGATGACCTGCTCCTGCAGCTGGGATCCCCGCAAGAAGAGATTCGTCGGATCCTGCTTGGTCGCACCCTCGTGGTGGAAATAGTGCCTGTCTCCGTGGTGACCGTGGAAGGCATGGAAGCCGTGAAAGCCATGGTCATGCTCGTGGTGAATGCCCTCGTCATGGTGGAAGCCGTGGTGGAAGCTATGGTGATGGTCATGGTGAACACCCTCCTCATGGTGGAAGCCGTGGTGGAAGCCATGGTCGTGTCCATGGTGGAAGAACTTCCAAAGCCCTGCCTTTGGGCACAGGTGGTGGCACTCACCCTCCGTCTCTGTGCACGCTTCGTGGCAGTGCTGCGCTTCCTCAAAGGCCTTGCATCTCATCTGCAGATCCATCAGCGGCGTGGGACAGTGATAGTGACACTCCCGATCTGAGCCGCAACGTTCGTGGCACTTGTTGGTGGTCTCGACCATCGCCTTCATACGAGGGCAGCTTGGGAATGGGCATTGCGCGTGACATTCATCATCGTGACCACAGTTGCGGTGGCATTCCATGATGGGCGTCACTTCCTGGCACGTCTTCCTGAAGCCAAGCCAGAAGGGCTTCGGACATTTCTTGATGCAGTCGGCGTCTCCTGCACAGCTCGCTTGACACGACCGGAATGTCGAGGTCAGCATCTGTGCGGGAGGCTGCACAACAGCAACGTCGGGCTTCACGAACCTCTTCGCTGGGAACACCTTGGGACACTGCTTGTGACAGACCCGGTCTTGACCGCAATTCTTGTGGCAAATTCCCGATGTACTTAACCTTCCGCACATCTGCCTGAATGACCTCACAGGTGCATTGCACGCATCTCGGCATGCATCGTCAGAGCCGCAGTCGATGTTGCACTGGATGATGCCCTTCACTTTTGCCGCCATCTTGGGGCACTTTGGCAGAGGGCAAGTGCGATGGCAATTCATGTCATCACCGCACCCCTGGTGGCATCTGATGACGGTGTCAAAGACCTCCGTGCACATCTTTTCCATGTGAATCCATGGTTTTGGGCATTTGGACATGCACTCCTCGTCTTCAGCACATTTCTGTTTGCACATCCAGCGGTCTCCCATTGACTTGTGCCATGTCTCGTGCCACTCTTTCGTTGGCCACTCAGCTTCCCCGCTCACAAGCTGATTGAGGAAGCTCGGTCGGTAGTGGTATCCCACGCCAATGAAGCCAAGAAGGCCAAAGGCAGAGAGGATGGAGGCGATCGAACAGCTCCAGTTCATTGTCGAATTGTGGCAGGCGAACACACCTACCCCTCGTCCTTCAAGACACCAAGACTGGCTCAAGCTCCGAAGCTTGAGCCACAGCCATTTTGCATCATTTTACATCATGAATCATGACGTCTTGTTCTGGGGGCATCCCGCGAAACCTAGATGAAGCCAGAGCAACAAGAAGAAAAGGGGCCTGTGGAGAGGAGCCAGGTTGGCTAAAGCTCGGCTTGGACTGCCACCGGGGCGACCTGCCACAGCTTTCTCGCCGACCCGAGGGCCAAAGGCGGTTTTGAAAGAACAGTCCCGCGCTAACTAGGAGAACAATGCGCTCATGTTTCCAAACGTTTCCCAAAGATTGTGGGTCTGGGTCTTTCAAACCTGTCAAGAACTTCTTGCAGCACTTTAGGGCCTTAGCGGGCCTGGTAAGTGCTTGGCCATTCGAGGGAAGACGACGGTTCGTGACCACGCTGATGTGCTGTGCCGTGGATGCAGTCTCAGGCTACTCAGAATGGTTCACCCGAGGCTTCTTGAATCTGCGCGTGTGAGGTGCTCCTCTGGCCGTGAGTTTCGCAAATACGGTGTACGGTGAAGCGGAGGCCTGTAGGCGAGGCTTCGTCGCTCGGTCGCGCCACTCGACGCCCGGTGGCACCCAGCGCGCCGACTGCAGCAGCTTTAGGGCTTTAGGGAAGCACCCAGATGACCGATGCACACATGTCAAACCAAGCCAAGTTTGCCAAATGCCTCCCGCGGGCTTGCGGCTGCGGGCTGGTGGCCCATTCGGGGTCAGTGTCGCCAAACCGCCTCAAGCTGAACGGCTGCAAATGTGACACCTCGTCATTCAAGCTTGATCTTGCCTGGACTCTACGCATCCCGCGTGCTCCAGCCGATTCAAAGCAGCAGCGATAGTGACAGTGCACTGCCACGCACAATGGATGTGGCTCTGAGAACACAGCTGTAAGACATTCCGCCCAGGCCAAGCACCTTTAGCTTTGGTGATTTCGGCTTCGGTCTTTTGCATGAGGGTGGGGGCACACTGTCTGGAAAATTACATCCTGAGCCAGCCCCGCTTCCTGCCTGGTCCCGGCGGCTTGTCAAGTGCTCTTTCTGCTAGAGCATCTGCCATAAACGGCTGAAGCTGCTGTGTGGCTTGCGCAATGTCCGACAGAGCAATGCGCAGTCCGGAGTCGTTGCCAGAGCTTCGGTTAAAATTGGAGATGGATCGGTGCTGAGTGGACTGGCTTCCATGACTCTAGAAATCAAGAGTGTAGTGTCCAAGAAGCTGAAGACGGCAGCAGCAAGCAGCTGTAGTTGAGCAAGGCTGACGCTTGATGCAAAGTGACGAATCTTCCGGCACAGGGACAAGGTTCCGTGAGTGCTTAAGCCACGACCATCATGCCTGTGCTAATTAGCCTTTGCCTGCGAGCTTTGCAAGCGATCTTGTCTGCTGCATACCTGCATACGTAAATATGTGCCCCATACCTGCGCACCTACGTCCACGTCACTACACTTACCAATAGGCCACATCCTCGAGTGAGGCATCAAAAAAACTAAATAGGCATCAAAAAAACTAGACCGGAAAATCAATAAAACAACTTAAAATAAGCATCAACAAAAACTTAAGCACTAAAATAAGCAT